TCCCATTGACTAATATTTTTTATAGGGGTTAAAACCACCAACCAGGTATATATAGGAGCCTGATCCATCCCTTCTTATAGGGGAAACAACTGCTGACGTAAAACTCGTCGCAGTCGCCTAGTTGGAGACGGTGCTGAGACATGTCCGTTTGAGTTAACCATAGCACGCAGGTGTCATCCTGAAGAAGGTAGATCTACTTAGGCTCCGGGAACTATACAGTACCCTTTGGTCATTTAACAATGACATAGCATTTATGTCATTTGACTTAGCTATGGAAAATAGATGAACATAGTTATTGATGGTCATTTAACATAGCTATGGAAAATAGGCCATTGATAGTCATTGATAGATGATTTACCGAGAAAAGAATGTCGCCATGTTAAGTTACCAGAGGGTTCAGCCACAGTAGCGTGAGTCGACTTGTGGGCCCACTTTCCACACACGTTGCAATTTGTTGTTTTGTAGAAGCCAGCATTTTCCGTGGGAATGGGCTATAAGGCCCAAAATATTTTGAATTACCCTTTTTTCAGGGTGTTCATAAGAATAGTTGGCCATGGATCATCATGTTTTTTATGATAAACCTGGCAAAGTCGTGACTCACGGTTTTGATGGATGGTGAGTATTCGAGAAAACGGTGACCCTCCCTCCTGGATAAGTTTTTTGAATCCATGTTTCGTTCATTCCCTGCTTCGTAACGTGGCCTGAAGTGTTGTATTTGAATCCGTAGATGTTGTTTCTTAAATGTTGTTTTCATCCGTAATTAGAAGTGGCCTCAAGTGTCAATATGCTGATAGTTTTCGTTGCCAAATTTCAAACTTGGCACCAGAATCGTAAAGGATCCCGTAGAATCTGAAGTGTTTGAAATTGCAAATTTGCAGCCAGATATTGATAAAATATATTTGTGAAAAAAAATATGAAAAATTTATTATTTAATATATGATCTACCGCAAAAACCCCGGCAATATTAAATATATTGGACGGACATTGATTTATGGAAATTGATGGAAATTATTAGAAACATACGGCAAGCGATACGACCTTCCTAGATTAAAAATATAAAATATCGAAATTATATATAATTTATATTTCTAAATTTATTCCTTGATTTATATTATAATTTGCGAAATAATATAATTTATATTTTTGATTTATTTAAATTAAATATTTATTAAAAAAATAATGGTATTGATATTATTATTTTTAATATTAATATTATAATAATTAATATTATTAATATTTTTAATATTATTATATATATATAATATTTTTAATTTATATAATTATATATTATTATTATAAATTTAAATATTAATATTATTTTATTTTTTATTTAATAATATTATAAATAAATAATTATAATTTAATTTATTAATTTAAATTAAA